AGTATTTCGATGGCCAGCTCGTCCTAAAGCCGTAACACGCCTTGCTCGCCCAAAGCCAATAGTCCGTCAACTCGACTATGCCTGGCGAGCGTCGCATCCTTCTTCCGACTTGGGAGGGGAACCAGAAAATCGTCTCTACAGCGTCAGCCGGAAAGACAGCTATAATGCATTAATGCTGCACGAGGCAGACGAGGACGCTTTAAACGTCCAGTCAACCCCTGGTGTTCAGCATGACGCAGAACGGAACGATTCTAGTTCCGCTTATGAATGGAATATGCGAGACTGGAGCAATCAATTTGGACATTATCTCGATCCAAAATCGAGCGGTAGATTGGCTCGTGGTGCTTCGGCTCGCAAGAACCCAAATGCACCCTATCCTACCGATCCAAACGAACGAGGTGACCCCGATTTCGATTGGGTGTTGGGATACCGCACGAAATTACTCGCAGAATCCATCTTTCGTTTCGATCGCAACCTTTGCAACCAGCGCTTCGAACTTATACTGGAGGACCTCTTGTTCTTGGGCCACCCTGTCTGTATTGGAGACGATGGAACGTGGCAATGGGAGCAATTATATGCAGATCCAAAGACAAAAACCGATTCCAATGATCCAAATGCCGATGAAAGTACAGAAGTCAACAATACAGGAAAGTCACAGAGCAAGGATCTAAAGAATGAAGCATCCCTCAAATATTTCCACCTCGTCCTTGTCCTAGATAGACCTGATGCCGCATTGGGAGGGAGTGTGAACCTTACTAGGTTCATAGATGTCTACTACGAACAGATTGCGGTGAAGATGACAGCTGCATTGCACTATGAGCAATCAAGAACTGGTTATGTCGAGAAGGAAACGGACTTGTTAGTAGACCTAATGGATGGTAAGTCTTGGTATCTCTATATTGTGCCGTTCTCATGACGAAATGGTAGCCGAGACCTATGACGAATTCGAGAGAACCGCTTTAGAGCGATCTTCCCTCGCCCGTGCTATTCGTGACATTTTTGTCGCAGTACAAAACCAGCGACTTGCCCACGTAAACGTCGGCGCATTTGAACTTGATTTGCAAATGCCTTGGTACCACGCAGAACTTTTGACTGGAGAGGATGACCCCGAGGGTGCTGGTGACTACTCTTACGAAAATGAACG